GGACCGGATTCATACTGATAAGTTAACAGCGACTGTCCAGATAATAAAATACTGACTTGTACATTAACTGACCCTTAATTGTAAAGATCAGACCGCATTCAAAGGAACGTATGATTCCGAGTGTACATTGAGTACGTGGCGTATCCCAAAGAGAAGCTTATTGAGTGGTTAACAACGGAAGCTTCACACTTTTCGTTCACCAGTGTTTCTCAAGTAATGTTTTCTTCCGTACCTGCTACTCGATATCAAGTTTGGTGTGAACGACTCGGTTAGAGTTTGGCGCCGCGCTAGGGCGATAAATTTCCGCTATGCACCCAGCTTCTTAGATACATTAGAACATCCTAGTGGTATGAAAACTTGCATACCTAGCCCAATTCCCGAAAATGCTTCTCTCATGGATCGTGAGCTACGAGCCAAGACAACCGCTACTTTTAGGTTTTTCAAATGAGTTTGAAAGATTATTGCCAAATGCTCTTACCGGATCCCGACACCATGCGCAATCCGGATGTTGTTTGATGCATTGACCACAGCTGGTTTGTGCTTCCAATGATCCACACAACTTCGTGGCGTCATCACACAAGCCTGAATTTTCAGGCTGATACGGTAGTCCATTGAAAATTATTGCGAAAACTACTGTAAATGAGCAGGAAATGGTTTTTTTCCAAACATACATAATTGGTATAGAATGGGAAGAAACAGCAGTGATAGTCGCATTGGTGTCTCTGGAAAGGCGACTCGAATTCTGAAAGTTAAAACAAATGAGTACGGTGTCTTCAGTGGTCTTCGAGTAGAAAACGGTTACGGTAATATATACAGTAGGAAATGCGGAGCATGGAGAGGCCAAATAATGAAACGTGAGGGGGAAAAGGATGGTGAGCAAAGTTTGCAAAGAAAAATAAACCGTAAAACAATAGGACATTTCTGATTTTTGGACAAAAGTGGTATCATCCTACTACGTAGTAAACCAGTAGTTATTAGAGAAACCGTTGAGAATTGGCTATTATGTGGCACATGAAGGAGCTGTTGAAGGTTAGAGCCTTCCTGAGTCGAACAACTCGCTAGTCAATTGTACCGATGAAGTGCAAAATTTCGAGAAACTGCCACTTCTGAAAATGTATACGGTCGGTTTTTCATGGAATTTCCGGTGCTATAGGGCGAAATTGTCGCCGAAGTACGATTCTTCCGTTATACGATGACTGCATGAATGGGCATGTAGCGTATATGATTAGTCACAAACTTCAATGAAATAGCTGAAATGGCGATTCAGAAAGCTGCTATGAGCAGCACAGGTCTCTTGTATACGTGGGCATAAGCAGGAGTGGACAAAAAAATTTGAAAATTGAAATATTGTGCTTCAACGAGAAAATGATGATGTTCGGGTATGTGCGCGTCCTGCCACCAAGGAGAGAACTCGCAAAAAAAATGACTACCTTCCCCGTGTCCCATCTTATTTACAGTTCCCCAATTCCCCAAGCTTCCACTCTCAAAAACATTCTTCGATTTTCTCCCAAAAACCATCGGAAAGGGGGGGGGGATCGAAAAATTCTTCGCAAAGCAGAAAAAATTCAAGCAGAAAGAACAATGAGCAGAGGCCTCCCGCGAGCCGTATACGACCCTTCTATAATAGGTAAGGATCCCGCGCGCATAGTGTCCTGCGTGACAGGCCTCTAACCATCTAGCTGAACTTCTGAGAGAAATGAGCGCTCTATTCTGTTCACGGGTGACGAGAGCCGCAGTTTGGCTAGATCATTGGCTAAGAGGCTTCTTATCCCCCACTAGATGGCCTGCGGAAACGGCCCATTCGGCAGGGAATTCAGATTGTAGGTAATAATGGGCCATAACAACTTCGGTGGATTGTTATTGTAAGAAATGGCCCGGCATGCTCTCAATGGTCTACCATTCTTAACCTTTGAGGATTATAGAAGCACCCGCATGCATCGTCGTTCCTGGGGAAAACAAGGACAATACAGGCACCCGCATCTGTCGTCATTTCCGGGCGAAAGACATGGAATCGCGGGTGGAGGGACTTGTGGTGGTGCGGTTGGAGGGTTGGAGGATGGGGAGATGATGGCTCAGAGAAGCTTTGAAGACAGCGCCCAATGACTCATCCCTCGGTATGTTCGGCAGCACTTGATTGATTGTAAGGACTACCGTTCAGAACTTTTTGTCGCCTTTTGTTCTCTTCCGGATTGACTTAAGGAGTCTAGCGCAAAAAGCCTATTGCGTGCAGTTTGCGATTGAAGAGGAAGGTTTCCTCGACCGCTTGCGACTTAACTCGAAGCTGAGAGGTGTATGGGAAGTTCACAGAGCCCTATCTTTCCTGACGACCCAACAGCCAAGTACATACAATTTGCAAGCGAGTTCGGTCAGGTGTAATGGTGTAATGGGGCATAGTTTGCCCCCGGAGTAGGTTATGATTACGAGCGCAGCAATGCCGTGCCTGCATGCATTAAATCTAGCTGAAAGCTAGCCATATCCCAGATTCGACTTTTTGCACAGGCCTGTGGACAGCATGAGGCTTCGTAGGTACTTACAGCACCTGAGCTGTCATTCCAAGCTTGAAGCTCAAAAACCTTACGAGCACGACCATAAACACGTAAAAGAACTTTCAAATACACCATATTATCCACGAAGTAGGAACAAGATGGAGGAGTTACATGATCTGAGACAACAAAGTCGTGTAAACGCACGCGCCCACCCACCCTCACAGATCGGCTATCGTTTCTCAAAGACCGCCCTCCCAAAAGCACATGACTTACACTATAGTACTACCGCAAGCGAGTGATATAGTTGTATCAGGCAAGCGAGAGACGGTGACCAGTACGCATAATCAAGCATGAATCACTGACAGCCTAAGATTGATGATTATACTAACCTAGCAATTCGCAAGCCGTTTGAGTTGTGTTTACCGAGCGTCAGATGACCACTGCTCATGCTACAGCATTTGCTGTGATGACCAGTAGTAAGAGTACGATGCAGCCGTCACTGGACAGATCAGCTTGAGTGAGCATGACCGACAACAGCGGATCTGTCGTTGCCAGCTGCAGGCGCGATTTGATCAAAATGAGGGACCACCAACGAAGTTATTAGTTTATCACTGCAGGTCAACAAAACCAACTCATGTGAACTTGAATCAGCAGGTGGTCATGAAGTTCTGTATCTATCGGGAGTAATAGTAAAGCGACTAACTGGATTAGTAACGGGGTCTTGGTACTTTTCGGACATCACCAGCAGAGCGTGATCTTCACAGTAATCTATTCCGATAAAACTCTTCCTGAGTAGAAGAAGAATAACCATTAAATTCTGCGCCAAAGTCAAAGGGCAGTCCTACATTCTGTAGCAGTATACACTGAAAATCTAGGAAAAGTAGCTAGTGGAAGTCGAGAGACGATTTAGATCCTAGGAAGAGGGCAGCGGTACGTTGGGGATTTCCAGCACGAGGGCCATATTTAGTGAGTGGAAGGAGTGGGTCGTAATTAACTTCGTGAAAATGTTTCCTCTTGCTGACTTTTCTCAGTTTTTT